GAGAAACATCGATCAGCTGCCTCCTGCACATCTCCCACTGGGGATGTGTCCGCATCCCAAGTACGTGCCCTTGACCGGAATCGAACCCGGGACCCTTCAGTCCGCAGGCCGACGCTCTATCCACTGAGCCAAACCGGTTTCGGCTGCCTTTCCATTTTAATTAATCCACAGCATATATTAAATGTCTACTGGGTACCTCCTCCCATTAATATTTTTCCTTCTCCTCACAACTTGGTGAGGGTAGACAAGCAGAAACCCACGGGTTCCCTGCATTTCTTCTTGCCCCTGGCATGCTTGCTTTGGGGGCATGAGGGGAGCCCCATCCTGGTATCCCTAAAAAAGGGTGAAGAGTAAGCTGATTGGATGAGCCCTCGGATGGCTAGTTCCATCCAAGTTTTTTCCCTATTTACATTCATGAAAGGAAACAGGACAAGAGAGCACTTGTTTGGATTAAAAGGTTCTCAAGAGGCTGTTTCTGAAGTTGGAGAGATGGAACAAGTTCCAGCTCGGGGCAGCCGCAGGGGAGAATGGAGTGCTTTTCTGCGGACCCTAAGGCTACTCCCAGCTGACTTCAGCAGCAGAGACTGTCCTGTTGCTCTTGCCTGGACTTGGGAGGTGTGAGACAGCTGAACGTCAGCTGCCAAATGCTTGTCGGAAGCTTGCAGCTCTGGCTTTTCCTTTGTGGCCAGGCAGCTGTGGACTGGACTGTAGAGATTTGTGGGGCCGTTCAAGAGGCGTTTCTCTGTGTGAGGATTTGGGGCTCCCCCGGTGCTACAACCGGCCTAACCACAACGCACTCAGCTGTCTAGGTGAAGAGTATTTGTGATCTCAGGCAGACTTCCCTGGTGAGATTCCACTGGGCAGGTCATCCGCTATACGCGTCGGCTGGTTCCAGAGACAGCTCTGTGTGGTGTTGGCCCAAAGGGTGGCAACTCCACAGGGTAGAGCCCACACCTCCTCTACTGCATGGTTGATTTCGGCTCTCCGCCACAAACGCTGGCTTCTCGGCAGGGATGTCCATGGAGTTTGGAGTTGTTCTTGCCCCCCTTGGGGACTGGAATTGCTGGTGACTGGTTTTCTATGCCTGCCTCAGGTTTTG